TTAGGAGAGATGGAGTTTCACCATGTTGGTCAGGCTGGTCTCGAAATCCTGATCTCGTGATTCGCCCACCTTGGCTTCCCAAAGTGCTGGGATTACAGGTGTGTGCCACTGTGCCCAGCCAAGTTGTTAGATTCTTTAAAAATAATTACAATTAGGGCTGGGCGCGGTGGCTCATGCCTGTAATCCCAGCACTTTAGGAAGCCGAGGCAGGTGGATCACGAGGTCAAGAGATCGAGACCATCCTGGTCAACATGGTGAAACCCCGTCTCTACTAAAAATGCAAAAATTAGCTGGGTCTGGTGGTGCATGCCTGTAATCCCAGCTACTCAGGACGCTGAGGCAGGAGAATTGCTTGAACCCAGGAGGCGGAGGTTGCGGTGAGCCGAGATCGCGCCATTGCACTCCAGCCTGGGTAACAAGAACGAAACTCCGTCCAAAAATCAAAAATAAAAAAAAAATTACAATTGTAAATTTTGAATGGTTGTATAAAAATGGTTCAAAATATTTTATCACCCACTTATGTGAATCAGTCCCTCAATGACAATGACTATTTAGAATATGAGGAGTTCATCATTAAAAACTCTAGATCAGGCTGGGCACAGTGGTTCATGCCTATAATCCCAGCACCTTGGAAGGCTGAGGCGGGCAGATCACTAAAGGTCAGGAATTCTAGACCAGCCTGGCCAATAAAGTGAAACCCCATCTCCACTAAAAATACAAAAATTTGCCAGGTGTGGTGGTGCCCACCTGTAGTCCCAGCTACTTGGGAGGCTAAGGCAAGAGAATTGCTTGAACCCAGGAGGCAGTGGTTGCAGTGAGCCGAGATCATGCCGCTGCACTCCAGCCTGGGCAACAGAATAAGACTGCCTCAAAACAAAAACAAAAAAAATTAGCTAAGCATGACAGCACAGGCATGTAATCCCAGCTACGCGGGTGTCTGAGGCATGAAAATTGCTTGGACCCAGGAGTGGGAGGTTGCAGTGAGCTGAGATCATGCCACTGCACTCTAGCCTGGGAACGGAATGAGACTCTGTCTCAAAAAAAAAAAAAAAAAAAAAAAAGGCTGGGCATGGTGGCTCATGCCTGTAATCCTAGCACGTTGGGAGGCCAAGGCGGGCAGATCACCTGAAGTCAGGAGTTCGAGACCAGCCTGGCCAAATGGAGAAACCCCATCTCTACTAAAAATGCAAAAAAATTAGCCAGGTGTTCTGGCGGTCACCTGTAATCCCAGTTACTTGGGAGGCTGAGGCAAGAGAATTGCTTAAATCTAGGAATCGGAGGTTGCAGTAAGCTGAAATTGTGCCATTGCACTCCAGCCTGGGTGACAGAGCGGGACTCTGTCTCAAAAAAAAAAAGTCTAAATCAGAAACTGCATAAAGCCACTTCAACCATAAAAATCTAGTATCAAAATGTATTCACAAGAACAAGTTCAAGTTGATCATTAAAAAACATGGAAAATTTTAACTTGAAAGTGTTATGCAAATTCAATATTTGCATTCCTACTACTTTGTATTTATCAAAATCAGACACTTAAAAGAAAATATTACTACCATTTAGATGCCTCTAAATATCTTCTAGTTTACCCTAGCATGCTGCACAAAAATGATCATTTTCTGTATGTCACAAAAGAAAGGAGAAGGCCTGATACAGATTATAAAGTTTGTCTGCCACTCATCTCACCCTAGTACCTTCACTCCCTCCTCCCATCCCATATACTCCCTTGCTCGTTTCAAAGAGTCAGGGCTGCAAGTGTAGATCTTAGCCAAGGTTCAAGTGTGTGCCCTACAGGTTCAAGTGTGTGCCCTACAGGGTGGTCCGGGAGGCCGAGGGGTTTTTCTTGCCACTTTTAAATTACAAGCAAGGGGATTTTGTACCTGAGATACAATTGGAGCTTATTTATTTATTCCTTTATTTTATTGATTTTATTTTTTGAAATGGAGTCTCGCTCTGTCACCTAGGCTGGAGTACAGTGGCACGATCTCAGCTTAATGCAACTCCTGCTTCCCAGGTTCAAAGCATTCTCCTGCCTCAGCCTCCTGAGAAGCTGGGAATACAGGTGCACACCACTGTGCCTGGCTAATTTTGTATTTTTAGTAAAGACAGAGTTTCACCGTGTTGTCCAGTCTGGTCTCGAACTCCTGATCGCAGGTGATCTGCCAGACTCAGCCTCCCAAAGTGCTGTGATTATAAGCGTGAGCCACTGCATCCGCCCATTTCTTTTCTTTTTTTTTGAGATAGAGTCTCACTCTGCCGCCCAGGCTGGAGTCCAGTAGGGCAATTTCGGGCTCCCAAATTCAAGTGATTCTCGTGCCTCAGCCTCCCAAGTAGCTGGGATTACAGATGTGCACCTCCATGCCTGGCAAATCTTTGTATTTTTTAAAAAGTAGAGACAGGTTTTTACCATGTTGGCCAGGCTGGTCTCAAACTCGGAACCTCAGGTGATCGTCCTGCCTTGGCCTCCTAAAGTGCTGGGATTAGAGGCGTGAGCCACCATGCCCGACCAGAGCTTAAGTTTAGACAAAAGCATAAAAAAATAACTAATGTTAGGCTGGGTGCATGGCTCATGCCTGTAATCCCAGCACTTTGGGAGGTCGGGAGTTTGAGACCAGCCTGGCCAACATGGTACCCCTTCTCTACTTAAAATACAAAAAATTAGCCAGGCTTGGAGGTACACGTCTGTAATCCCAGCTACTTGGGAGGCTGAGGCACGAGAATCACTTGAACTCAGGAAGGGGAGGATACCGTGAGCTGAGATCGTGCCCTGGCACTTCAGCCTGGGCAGCAAGAGCGAGACTCCGCCTCAAAAATAAAATAAAATAACGAATGTCCAAAAACAACACACACGTAGTATAAACAGCAAATCTGGACCAATACAAGGGGAGGGCAAAAAGATGTAAATAAATGGACTGACATTTCATGTTCCTGGAGATAAATTAACACCCCATCCCACATCATTTCGAGATTTAACATTAACATTTAGACAAAAGTTAGTGATTAGAACAAAAGTCGTCGATTAGAATTAACTTGGTTAGAATACACCTGGACAAAGTATACCCTAAAGTGTAGCCAGGTGATCACTCTTCTTAATCACCTATGCAGTGTCTCATAGGGTATACTGGTATGAATACCACTTTCCAAAGTCTTTCACTTTGCATTTTTCTTCGCATTCAGAATTGATAAAGTTACCAAGACTACTTCACAGTAATCAGACTTAACCAGGCGCTAAGGCTGTACATTCTTCCAATGTCTCAAGTCTATTGCTAGCCATCAGGAGTACCTGAATACGCAGAATACATAAAAGTTTGCGAAAAAGGAATCAAAGCAACAGGAGGAGTCTGGTTTGAACGGTTATTTCATCCAAATTACATTAAGGACTGCTAAATGGTTTCTGCCCCCACGAAAGTACCCTTTGTTGATGTTTCCAAACTATAACGCAGGTCCTCCCTGGGCAATGCCTAGATAAATTAACAAATTCTTAGATTTTGCGCTCCCCTTTTCCAAACTTCAAGCAGACCACTCCGCGTTTGTTAACAGAAATTTTTTTTTTTTTTTTTTTTTTTTTTTTTTTTTTTTTTTGAGACAGTTTCGCTCTTGTACCCAGGCTGGAGTGCAATGGCGCGATCTCGGTTGACCGCAACCTCCGCCTCCTGGGTTCAGGCAATTCTCCTGCCTCAGCCTCCTGAGTAGCTGGGATTACAGGAATGCGCCACCATGCCCAGCTAATTTTTTGTATTTTTAGTAGAGACGGAGTTTCACCATGTTGACCAGGATGGTCTCGATCTCCTGACCTCGTGATCCACCCGCCTCGGCCTCCCAAAGTGCTGGGGTTACAGGCTTGAGCCACCGCGCCCGGCCCAACTTTTAATATAACTGATTAATTTCTAATCTTTCCTAGGGAGAGTGATTAATTTCTAATCTTTCCTAGGGAGAGCCGTTCAATTCTAAAAGAGTAAGTCACATGGGTTGCTAAGTTAAAATACAAAGCATTTCCTAATGAAAAGGAAAGCTAGTCAATGATGGTTATTTTTGTCAGCAACTTTAAATATAGATCCATAGATTATTAATTTATGGCTGTCGTGGGTGTTAGGAGATGACCTAATCCCGTCCCCACTTTCATAAAAAAAATTAAAACTAAAGTTCTGTAAAGTCAAATGATCTTGGCCGAGAAAGGATTAGATCTCTAGAGCATTATGGTAACAATCATTCGCAAACAGGAAGCATTATCTGGCGACTTTGCTTTTTTGGAAATCTTGTAAATTACTCAGTTTCGTAAATTCCGTCAGCTCGAAAAGATGCTTCAGCTCTTTCCACACTCACTTGAAAGCAACACATTAGAAAATAGTCCTGACTTGTTTCTTGATATCAGCGAGTAACTAATAACTGACCTCCACCAGTCCCGCCTCAAGTGCTAAGGGTAAAAATTCTGTAAGTCAGCCGCGTTTTGAGGCCTGTCCAAGGTGCCTGTGATGCCCACATGTCGGAGTCGCAGGGATTTTCGGTACATGCCCTCAGGTAGGCGCCGCAGTCAGACATTGGTCCCCGGCATTTGGAGACAGCAGAGGTGGTCCGGGAGGCCGAGGGGTTTTTCTTGCCACTTTTAAATTACAAGCAAGAAAAACGTGCGTTTTATTTCGGGCACAGGAATGGAATGAATTCTAAAACAGAACGAGAGGCCTGCGTGGGGGAAGTGGGACAGGCGCAAGAAGAAAGGGAAAGGCCTTTCTCTCTGGTGACACGCAGTCACGAGGCATTCGCCATACGTGGGCACTCACTATTGGCTGAGCCCGGGCTGACGTCCGGGCCAACGTCCGGACGCAAACCGCAGCAAAGACGGTCCTGCCCTGGAAGTTGGCTAGGCGCGCGCGCTCCCGCGGCACACCGCGCCTCCGCCCTCCGCCCGCCAACCCGCTGGTCCAGTCCCCCTTCGCGCCCGCTTGGCTCCGCCCCCTTCTCAGCTCGCTCCTCCCCCACCAGACTGGCGGCGCGCGGAAAACGCGTCACGTGACGACTAGCCCCGCCTCTTCCTCTCGGTCCCATATTGAACTCGAGTTGGAAGAGGCGAGTCCGGTCTCAAAATGGAGGTAAAACCGCCGCCCGGTCGCCCCCAGCCTGACTCCGGCCGTCGCCGTCGCCGCCGGGGGGAGGAGGTATTAGGGGGAGAGCGGGGGGTTGATGGGGAATGGCCAGCGTGGGGGGCCTGGCCTGGTGGGAGCGGGGAGGCCGGGTGGACTGGGTCGGCCGTCCCGCGCTCTTGCGTTGAGACGAGCGGTGGGAGGGGGAGGGGAGCGGGCTTTGGAGGCCTCCGCGGGGCGCCTCACTCGCCTCGTCTTCACCTTCGGCTGCACTGGCGGCCCCTTGGAGGCGCGGCGTAGCGAGGGTGGCCTGGGGAGGGAAGCCGGCCCGCCGGTTGCGCGGCCTCCAAGCGAGACTGCGGGCGGCATGGCGGGCCCGGGCGGGAGCGGTTGGGAGGCGGCGGTGGGGGAGGGGAAGGGACGAGCAGGCACATCCGGGCGAGCGAGCTGGCGGGCGGCGGCCACATTGACATTGATCCGCCGCCGCGTTACGAAATGGCGCATTGGCCCGCAATGGCCGCCGCCTCGCTCTGCCGCCGGGAAAGAGAGCCTGGGATTGGAGGGAAGAGGGCGGAGGCGGCCCAGCGGAAAATGCCTCAAGTGGCCTGGAACCGCGGAAGGTAGCGCTTACGCTGAAGTTCTGCCGGCGCTTTTCCAGGCCTCTTACGGACCCTCTCCGCGAGGAGAGTCTTTAATTGTCTAGCCTGTTCTTTTCTTCGCAGCATCCTGTCGGAAATACGAGATTGCTAAAAACTTTGCTGCTTTAAAAGACTTGTTAACCTATTTTTACACCTCTGAAACCGCCATGTGGGTGAAGAACTTAGTATTTGAGTGTAGATGCGGAAAACAATCCAGTCTGCTCCTTCCCGGCCCCTGCCAGGGTCGAGGAGTGGAGAATTTGAGCGTAGATGTTAAGTAAGAATTTAAAATGTTTCTGATCTTCATGGTTTCCCATTTTTTGAGTCGGCTCTGATTGTAGTTTCCTGGAATTTTGTTTAGAGGACTGCAGCCAGAGTTGAAATTTTTACATGTGTTGGCAGTATGTGGATCCCAAATGTGTTTTTTTTGTCGATTTTGTTATTGCCAATCGAATACAATTATTCAAAACTTGAAAAGATGGGACTACATGAATTAATGCTTTAGGCTATTAATTTTTTAACATTTTTTTTCTAGTATGTGACTCGCTTCACATTAAATGCCTTAACATCTCTACCTCTAGAAGACACAGGAAGACATTAGAATGTAAATGTGAGCCCCTTTATTTAAGGACTTCGGATGACGGAAACCTTAATGCATGCATTAAATGACAGTTAATGCAATATGTTGAAAACTCTGACTAACGTATAAAACAATTTCAGAACATCTTAATTCTTAAAAATCTCAATTTTTGTTTTACTGTGCTCCATTCTTCTAGTCAAACAATACATACTACTACTAATGTAAGTCCAACTTGCCACTTTGTTGTGACTCTTAAAATTGAGTTGTAAAGTGCAGATTTTTGCAGCATATAACAAGCATGGGATATATTTGGTGGGCTTTTTTTTCCCCTAATTTTTTTGGGGGTGGGCAGGAAATGCTAGTTTAGCTTAGGAATGACTGTTTTAAAATTTTGCTTGAAAGCAGTGAGTTTCTTTAGTTTGATCATCACAGTTTTGTGTTTAAAATTAAATGTGTGATAGGATGTAGGCTGAGAAGACTTGGGATAAATGCAGCACTGCTTCTCCAACACTTTAGTGCCCTAGGGAATGACTTCTCATTAGCAGCTTCTAAAGTAGAGAGTTGTAGCTTTTAAAAAATGGAGGGATTTTTGGTTCTGGAATTGCCTTGGATTTCAATTTAGTTGAAGTGATGTTGGCGTTTGAAAGGCAGGTTGTAGATTTCCTTGGCATGAGTTAGCCCCTTTAACAGTGGAAGTTTGTATTTCTGGTCAAAGCTGTTGGATTTTTTTGTTTGTTTGTTTTGAGATGAGGGTTCCCTGTTGTTGCCCAGGCTGGAGTGCAGTGGCACAATCTTGGCTTACTGCAACCTCCCCCTCCTGGGTTCAAGCAATTTTCCTGCCTCAGCCTCCCGAGTAGCTGGGATTACAGGTGCCCGCCACCATGCCCAGCTAATTTTTGTGTTTTAGTAGAGACGGCGTTTTGCCATGTTGTCCAGGCTAGTCTGGAACTCCTGACTTCAGGTGATCCACCCGCGTTGGCCTTCCAAAATGCTGGGATTACAGGCGTGAGCCATGGCTTCCTGCCTCTGGTCAAAGTTTTAACTGGACAAAGCGTTAACTGTCACAGGAAGTTGATGTTGATTTTATTATCTATGATAGGTTAAAGGCTCTTTGTACATCTTAACGATTCATTTATTATAAGAGATAATTTAAGCATATTGGTTCTTTGTCTCAGGGCCATGATCCAAAGGAACCAGAGCAGTTGAGAAAACTGTTTATTGGTGGTCTGAGCTTTGAAACTACAGATGATAGTTTAAGAGAACATTTTGAGAAATGGGGCACACTTACAGACTGTGTGGTAAGTTACTAAGGGAATGGAATGGTTTTTAGGGGTGTAGAGAACCAGCGGAGGTGTTTCAATGTTATAAAACTTTTATTTTGTAGGTAATGAGAGATCCCCAAACCAAACGTTCCAGGGGCTTTGGTTTTGTGACTTATTCTTGTGTTGAAGAGGTGGATGCAGCAATGTGTGCTCGACCACACAAGGTTGATGGGCGTGTAGTGGAACCAAAGAGAGCTGTTTCTAGAGAGGTATTTTAATAATGTGTTGTATAATATGTGAAATTGTTGTGAAAGTTTATGTCTTGACTTAATACATTACTTAATTTGTAGGATTCTGTAAAGCCTGGTGCCCATCTAACAGTGAAGAAAATTTTTGTTGGTGGTATTAAAGAAGATACGGAAGAGTATAATTTGAGAGACTACTTTGAAAAGTATGGCAAGATCGAAACCATAGAAGTTATGGAAGACAGGCAGAGTGGAAAAAAGAGAGGATTTGCTTTTGTAACTTTCGATGATCATGATACAGTTGATAAAATTGTTGGTAAGTAGCAATTTATGGGAACTTGAATGAGAAAGAAGTGGTTTCTGTGTTTTGAACTAAATTTGCTGAATTACTTGTAATTTTCTGTTGCATGTAACAGCGTTTATAGTGTATGGTCAATTTTCATAGTGTCTGTACCTCTGTAATCAGTATCCAGGTAAAGGAATAAACATTAACATCTCAGAATGCTCCTTCATTCCCAGAGTCACTACCTGATTATGTCTTAATGGGTTACATAATGACAGAGGGTATCATATGCGCTTTTCGAAACACAAAATAACTTTTTGTTTTCTTTGATTAAAAAAAAATTTAGTTCAGAAATACCATACTATTAATGGGCATAATTGTGAAGTGAAAAAGGCCCTTTCTAAACAAGAGATGCAGTCTGCTGGATCACAGAGAGGTGAGTAGTACCATACACGTGTACACAAAAGATTTTAGTCGTGGCTGTAAGGTTCTTAAAATCTCCCTTGCCTATGTTAAAGGTCGTGGAGGTGGATCTGGCAATTTTATGGGTCGCGGAGGAAACTTTGGAGGTGGTGGAGGTAATTTTGGCCGTGGTGGAAACTTTGGTGGAAGAGGTAGGATGTTTATCTTCTAAGTACATGCATACCTAATGTTTTGGTAAGTTAAATATATGATTTTAATTCATATCTTGTTTTTCCTCAGGAGGTTATGGTGGTGGAGGTGGTGGCAGCAGAGGTAGTTATGGAGGAGGTGATGGTGGATATAATGGATTTGGTGATGGTAGGTGGTTTATTTTCATTGATTTTTTTTTTTTTTAACTTTCTTTACCTTATGGAAAATTTAAGTATTACACCTTTCTAATTTTAATCAAAACTTGAATGACTTAATGATTAAGACATATTTTCAAACTAATGCCATAGAAGAGTAGAGACTCTTTTTCCCCTGGAGATTTATCATTAGCCTGTCTTTTTCAGTGAGTAGTAGGAGTTTAGCTAGAATTGAAGTCTAGGACCATATTTTTCTTAGTGAAGATTGATAAAATGAAAACTAAAGCATTTATTTTCATTCTTACTAGCTCAGATACTTGCTATTCTATTGTTATTAGGTATTACCAGGTTTCAGAGTGCTTAAATGTAATATAAAACCAGAATTGAGTAATGCTAACTATTCAGGAGGCTGAAGCAGAAGGATCACTTGAGGTGAGGATTTTGAGACCAGTCTGAGCAACACCAGGAGACCATGTTGCTAGAAAAATAAAATAGGGGAATATGGTGGCACATGCCCATAGTATAGCTACTCAGGAGGCTGAGGTGGAAGAGAGGCATGAACCCAGTAGTTCAGTGCTGCATTGTTGTGGTCACGCCACTGTACTCGAGACTGGCAACAGAGCAAGATCTGGTTTCTTAAATACGTGTCACCAGAATTGAATAACTTGACTCTTTATACATTTATGTTTTTAATGTCTTATTTTTTGTTGTTTTTTTTTTTTTAGGTGGCAACTATGGCGGTGGTCCTGGTTATAGTAGTAGAGGGGGCTATGGTGGTGGTGGACCAGGATATGGAAACCAAGGTGGTGGATATGGTGGCGGTGGTGGAGGCTACGATGGTTACAATGAAGGAGGAAATTTTGGAGGTGGTGAGCATTCACTTTTTTCATTTAAATGTGAAATATTCAGTGTTGCTAACAGTTCCCATGACATAAGTTTGAAAAGTGTTAAAAGTTAGTGGGTAAAATTTTATGTTCTATAATTTTAGAAAATACTAAAATGGTGGGTAATTCAAACCAAATTTTCTTGACTTTGCTGGTTGTTTAGCAAAATGTATTCAACTCTTAGTTGAGAAGTTAAAAGTGGGCATTTACCAGTATGTAGTACATGTATTACATGTAAAAGATAGGGAGTTTATATATTGCCAGTATTTTACCTTGACTCTTAAGGTACCTTTAAACTGAACTCTTTAGTACTTTTACACGGACAAATGGGAATAAATTGTTTGAATACTGAGACATGTTGAAGTGAGCGGGTTGCCATCTAGGTGTAAGACAAAAAGTACTTTGTGTCTTAATACGTCACAGGTACGTTGCAGACTTTAATGTAAGTCATTACTCCAGGTTACTGTTAAGAGATTCCTTATGAATGTACTGTTTGGTTGGACCTAATTAACATGTCAGTGACAGATGAGTGAAGTTTTAACAAGTTAGAATGCCTTCGCGTTGTTTTAAATATTGTACTGCAGCAGCAGCATAGTGAGTGGAATACTGACAGTTTTAATGATGTTAATGGTAGAGAGACCATGTGCCTGGAGAATACCATCTAATGTAAACAAAATGTTGATGGTCTTTCAATATGCTGACATCAGTTATTCCAAGTGGTGCTACCAAAGTGGTATGTGTAAAGCTACCATAGTTGTCAGAAGACAATAGTTACATCAAAAGGGGAAAATGATGATTGTGTGGGTAAAGTACACATAAACCCTTTCTGATTTCAGGTAACTATGGTGGTGGTGGGAACTATAATGATTTTGGAAATTATAGTGGACAACAGCAATCAAATTATGGACCCATGAAAGGGGGCAGTTTTGGTGGAAGAAGCTCGGGCAGTCCCTATGGTGGTAAGTACTTTCCTAATTATTTAGAGCCTTTTTAATTTAAAAAAAAAATTCATACTTCTTTAAAAATATGTATATTTTTAGGTGGTTATGGATCTATTATGTATATTTTTAGGTGGTTATGAATCTATTGTGTATATTTTTAGGTGGTTATGGATCTGGTGGTGGAAGTGGTGGATATGGTAGCAGAAGGTTCTAAAAGCAGCAAAAAAGGGTAGGTATCTTTAAATTTTTGTCATGATGATAAAGAATATGTGGAACTGTTCACTGAGTGTAATAATTTTTTTATCCTGTATTATTCAACAGGCTACAGTTCTTAGCAGGAGAGAGAGCGAGGAGTTGTCAGGAAAGCTGCAGGTTACTTTGAGACAGTCGTCCCAAATGCATTAGAGGAACTGTAAAAATCTGCCACAGAAGGAGCGATGATCCATAGTCAGAAAAGTTACTGCAGCTTAAACAGGAAACCCTTCTTGTTCAGGACTGTCATAGCCACAGTTTGCAAAAAGTGCAGCTATTGATTAATGCAATGTAGTGTCAATTAGATGTACATTCCTGAGGTCTTTTATCTGTTGTAGCTTTGTCTTTTTCTTTTTCTTTTCATTACATCAGGTATATTGCCCTGTAAATTGTGGTAGTGGTACCAGGAATAAAAAATTAAGGAATTTTTAACTTTTCAATATTTGTGTAGTTCAGTTTTTCTACATTTTAGTACAGAAACTTTAACAAAATGCAGTTTTGAAGGTGTTTCCTTGTGAGTTAACAAGTAAAGAAGATCATTGTTAATTACTATTTTGTATGAATTTTGCTAAAGTTAACTGTAAAGAAACACCTGCTGACTTGCAATTTAAGGGGACTCTATTCTCCCCATTTCCAAACCATAATATGAATGGGCACTGACATGTGGAGAGAATAGATATATGTGTGTTTGCAATGTGTGTTTTAGGTAAATAGGATTGGGTAATTAAATTAGCATTTGTGAATTTAATAGCATTAAGATTACCTTCAAATGAAAAAAAAAATCTCAAAATTTCTATTTGGTTTTTGTGCATTTTCTTTTAAAATGTAATATGATTTTAGTGTGTTAGACTTGCTGAGTCCTAGCTGTGTTTAGAACATCTCCATTCTACGTTTACCTTGGTCAAATTTGAACTGCTGCCATAGGTTTTGGGTGTAAAGAATGTTTACTGCCCTCCATTTAAATTCAGAAAAGGGGTAGTGGATGTTTTCCCTCTCCTACATTAGAAACCACTCTTAAAAACTTCAAAATACAGGACCATTAAGCTTGCTGTGTCTGAGCAAATTAGTGGGTACCTTTTTTTTTTCTTTTTTAAAGCACAAGAGGCCCATAAATCATCAGTTACTTTCCGTGGTTTAAATTCTTATATATATATATATATATACACACACATATATGTATATGTGTGTGTGTATGTGTGTGTATATATATATGTAAGTTTTCAGAGTAAGAGAATAAAAATCATGCATTATTAAACCCCTAACTGGCTGGCATGCTTTCCTGTTTGTACCCTATACATTTTGCTGGATGAAACTAAGGATAGTTTAGGTATAACTGTCGAAAATAACCTAACTGCAGCAGAAATGTAGCACAGTTGCTTAGTACAAGCTTCCCACTTCCTACAGACCTGAATTCAAATTTGGATAGTCTGAGTTCTTAAATTCCCAAAGAACACACTGTAACTTCTTGTATATATTTCAACATAAATCATACTGTTACCAATTCGTTTGGAAGGCCCTGGTTGAGAAGAGTTTTAGATAATAAGGTCATATATATATATATATTAATATAAACCAATGTCTACTGTTTTGCGCCAGCTAGTGCTTACAGTTTGATTTGATCCCTGAGTATGTGCCCTGCTGTTATTCTTTCTTGGTAGTTGAACGTTGAATTCGAGATTCTTTGTTTTAAGAAGTACTAAGCAAAACAAGCAATAAAAAGGGGAATGGGGCGTGCTAGTGTTTGAATATGCTCTCTTGTTGCTCTAATTCTGTGCCTCTGTGCATTAATATTTGGATGCATGCAATGCCAGCATGGAAATTGGTCTTCACACATACTGCAGTTTTCCAGAAACACTCACAAAACAATAAATGTAACAGATAATTCCATTTGTTAATGGGCATATATGTGAAAAAGCAGTGTAGAAAATAGGCTAATATTAGAAAATGGTTAAGTCCTTAATAACTTCAAGTGTGGTTATATACTGGACACTGTCAATGTTCATAACTTAAACCTGGGTACCTGGTCAAAATAATGCTTGGGAAACATTAAAATTGAGCTAAATTGTCTCAAGTTCTTTTATTCATATAAATAAAGATTAAAGGAATGGGGGAGATTGACATTTCCTGTTTTATGTTTGTGAAATTGTTTGACATAACCTTGACAGTATCCTTTAATGGCATATAAGGTTAATTGTACTGTTAACCAACTTTCTATGTTCTGGAACTAGTATTATAGTGAAAACATTTAAAGTAAGTTGATGCTTACAACCTATAAGCAGGTGAAATCTGTGTATGTGACCTGTTTATAAGTTGTATTAGCTTAGCTCTTGTGAACAGTGTGGAAAAGTAAGCCATGAGGAGAGCGATTTAACCAGCTTTAAAGGACCTAAGATGTGCTTTTTAAGCACAGTGTGGATCAAAGGAAACTCACTAAGACAGGACTTCAGCAGCCTTTTGTGTATGGACAAGTCAGCATAAATAAAGAATGACAAGGCAGCAGCAAGAGCTTCAACTACAGAGAAGTGAAGGCATAAGATACTATGATGATAGTGAGCAACTTTTCAAAAGCTAGTTAAATCTGCTTATTACAACTGAAATATCGAAGAAAGTCTAGCAGGAAGGAGCTCTTCGCCTTTTGGAACATCAATGAGAGATAGTTGCCACAGTCACTAGGTCTAGCATTTAGACCTGCAAGGAAGGGCAATAAGCATTAGGTAAGGCTTGAATTTGAATTTTTTCACTAATTAAAGAGTAATTTTTTGTAAAGCAAGGTAAGAGTAATCTTTTTGATTTGCAGGTTGAATGAGAACCCTACTTGCCTAAATGCGGAATGTCTTTCCTACCATCTAAAATACGAAGGTTTCTGGCTGGGTAAGGTTTGTAGTTGACAGTAAAACCTGATGACACCATTTGTTTCCCTACAAGTACATATTTCACAACTTTGTCCTTTTCTAGTAGGCACATTGGTAAAATTATTCAGCTGAAAACTACCTTGGTACCATGTCCAACACATTTAAACCTTAGTTAAAAAATTCCCCTGTAATAGTCATAGGTATTCAACTGGAATCAGTTGTGACCCCTTGCGTGTATACCATTTTTTATTAGTGTCTTTAGGGTAAACTTAATTTTTGGTAAGAGAAGGTAGCTTCAGCTTTGGTGAAAACCCGTGTTTTAATAAGCATTACACACAGACTCAGTAGGCTGGCAATCCTCTTACTAGGAAAAACACCTTCAAAGGTACAGTGAAAGTTACCAGGGCCGGCACAGTAGGTCATGCCTGTTGTAATCTCAGCACTTTAGGAGGCCAAGGCAGATGGATCCCAAGTCCAGGAGTTTGAGACTAGCCTGGGTGACAAAAACAGACAAATTAACCAGGGTTGGTGTTATACATCTGTAGTCCCAGCAGCTTGGGAGGCTGAGATGGGAGGATCCCTTGATCCTAGGAGGTCGAGGCTGCAGTGAGCTGACTGCCCCACTATGTTTCAGCCTGGTTGACAGACCACATCTCAGAAAAGTTATCAGATGTCACAGATAAAAGTTGGTCTTCAAGTGGCCTCGTAAGTTCTCTCACGTATAAATTCAGGGAATTCATTGGACCAATAGGTTACATTTTCGTTCCTTTTAGGTTTATCTGTTAACCAGAAATAGTGGGGGCCTAATTAGTGCTCCTTTGTAAGAGGACATTTTTCCAAAGAATACTGAATTTACTGTTCAAAGTGGTTGATGGTTAATAAGGGCTGTTTTTGCTGCCCCAAAAGGACTTAACAATTTAGGTGGTTAGTTTACCTTAAAAAGCAACCTTCGGAGACAAAATAACTGAAAATGCAAACTAATTTCCAAATTACCAGTATCCTACTTGAAGAGCAGTCAGTTTGCCAGTGTTCTTAGAAAATGGCTGTTGGCTCTATCTAAATGAGAACACAATTTCTACATGTATTGAGTAAGGTAACTGCCTTTGAATTTCCTTTACAACATGGTTTGAGTGAAGCAAATTTCCTAAGAAAGGAAATGTTTTTATTTAAGTGCATTGTTCCTTCTAGTTCATTTCTTTATGAAATAAAATTGTTTTATTTAAACATAGTTCCATTGTCGTTTCTGAAAAATACAGTATAAAAGTTGTAGCAGCAGTAAAAAAAAAAAAATACTTGTTATGTCAGTGGTTGAGGCAGATTTAATTGATTTTGTTAAACCAATTTGTAGGTTAATGCTTCTAATACTACACTTCTAAAAAGCTGATTTTATATTCATGTTCTAAAGGAGAATATGTGGTAATAAAGTGTATTTGTTAAGTAACTAAATAATTGAAATAGGCTTGATTTTAAGAGTTGCAGTACATAATAGTCAAAAATTTGAAACCTAATTAATGACAGTATCTCTTGGAGTTCCAGTAATTGATGTCACAAAATAGTGAATAAAGCATGCCAGTGTGCAAAGGTAATGTAAGGATTGTTAGCCTATCTAAATATTCAAAATTACAGTATGTTTTCTAATTTTTAAGAATTCAAAAGTGTTCTGTAATGGATTCAGATGTTTCATTTGTAGTATAATGAAATGTTTACAGAAAGATAACTTTTTCATTAAAATATTTTTAGAAATGTGTGTGTTGTTTTGTCACTTCACAGTGTTCATGTGACTTAAACACAATAGGTGAATATTTTGAGTTATTTTACCAGTAAATAAAAAAACAACAGGAAACTTGGAGTGAGCCTTTATGAGTTACTTTAAAAGATGTGGATTCTATTATATGGAAAACAAGCCATGGGAAATAGGCATGGAAGAAAAATATTTTTTAAAGTTACCAGCACTTGTTGCCTATAAGAAAGAACTTGGGTCTTGAAAGACAGTGAATGAGGTATTTGGGTGATACATACGAAGAATCTGAACCTTTGAGGGGGAAAACAACCAAAATAAGGAAGTGAATTAGTAAATAGAAACTAAGAGAAAAGTAAAGGTGGTTGCTAGGAGGGAAAGGAGGGGCGTATTGCAGATGTTGAAAGTATCTAGTTTATTTTGAGAGTCTCACTCTGTTGCCAGGCTGGAGTGCAGTCGCATCTGAGCTCACTGCTCAACTGGGTTCAAGCGATTCTTGCCTCAGCCTTCCAAATAGCTGGGACTACAGTTGTACACCACCATGCCAGCTGATTTTCTGTGTTTTTAGTAGATGGGGTTTCACCACGTTGGCCAGGATGGCCTTGATATCTTGACCTCGTGATCCACCCCCCTTGGTCTCCCAAAGTGCTGAGATTGTGTGAGTTACTGCATCTGGCTGAAAGTAACTAGTTTGTTAAATCTTGAGAGGCAGTGGAGTGGTTCAGTATTGTATGGTCAGAGTAAGTTGGGGAAAACCTTTCATGATACTAAGTAGTCTTAAACTACGCTGCTGTTTAACACAGGAAAATCTGTTGTGTACAATGGCCCTCTCTTTTGTTGGATCAGTTCTTTTATGCGGGGGGGGGGGGTAGGGCTTTGATAAAGTCTTTTAAAATTACAACTTACATTTGGATTTCTAGCCTTAATAGCTGTTAAGCATATTTTCCCAGTGTAGTTTTTTCAAGTGAAATACTTGGTAAGTGGAAGCCAGTTAAGGATTCTTGGCTAGCTGTTAGACTTAATGCAAACTCATTTTGCTTGTATTCAAACACTTGTGTCATATTTTGTGCAGTTAAGTAATCTTAATGTGTCTTATAATTTCAGTTGCATACTTAGGTCCTGGAATAATAAAGGATGAGTATGGACTTATTTCCAACAAAATAAGTATATTTGCCCTTGTTTTCTCACAATAAAAGCATTGT